GGCAGAAGCCTTGATTAAATATAAGCCCAGTGTAAAGGGCAGGGCCCAGCTTGGAGTGCAAGCATTTGCTGATGCGTTGCTCATTATTCCCAAGGTATGAATACTTTAACAGTTTTCTTAACTACATCAAAATGATTTAGCTGATGAAAGCTTTTTGATAATGGCGTTTTTATAATGTAGACTTTGAGTAAACAAGTTTTATTCATTTTCTCCCTAACATAACTAGAGCCACGTATAACCATATATACCTAGAGCCAGGTATCTCTTATCCAAATGTATTTGGTTCCTGTGGAAGGGAGTTGAATAACTGAAGTTTCAGATGGCAGGAGATAAACTGTTTTAAGAGTTTGCAGTGTAGGAGTTCTACTAGAGTACAAGCTTGCTCTTTTGTTTTCTCTTGTATGCTATTTTAGGGATACAGTTTATGACCAGTGTATTGCTGGGCTTGGGGTGGGTTAATGAGTTGGTTAGTAACAAATGTTCTATTTAGTTATTCTCTGATATGAACATAAATACTGGTCTATCTTAAGGGGTTTTTTTTTTTGTTTTGTTTTTACTAATTGGAATTATGGTTCTTATCACTTCTTAGGGTTCTGTCTTTTAAAGGATTAAATTTGTTTGTTTAGGTTCTTGCTCAGAATTCTGGTTTTGACCTTCAAGAAACACTAGTTAAAGTTCAAGCAGAACATTCAGAATCAGGTCAACTTGTAGGTGTGGATTTGAACACAGGTAAGAGAACACAGCTATTTGTAGGGGGAGAACTAGATTCAGGTGAGGTAAAATCAGGGAGGATAAAAAATGGAAACAAAAGAATGTTGGAGAAAAGTAGAGTGGAAGAAAGATAACAGAATCCTGCAGTATTTGTAAGACCTGTTACTGTCAACAGCATCATACATTCACATTAGTAGAAAGGGTTTCTGGAATGAGGGAAATGGTAGGCCCATTTTGGCCAGTTCAAGTGCTCTACTTTAATATGAACAAACAAGAATGCATCTGGAAAAATAGAGATGTTCAAACATTTGGTAACCAAATAGCACATTACTATTACTGGATGTCTTCTGAGTAGAGATCGTAGTTTGGAGCAAAATTGGACTAATTGAGGAACTTTGGATAATGAGAATAATCAGTGATGAGCAAATCACAAAATACTCTGTTTTATTTGCATTCTGATCTTCCAACTTTCTGTGTGTGATTTTAAGAATACTGGGTTACTTTACAGGTGAGCCAATGGTAGCTGCTGAAGTAGGCATATGGGATAACTATTGTGTAAAGAAACAGCTTCTTCACTCCTGGTAAGTTTGAGACAGCCAAAACTAAAATAACCTTTAGAGAATCCTCATACTCTTACTTGGTATGTTTAATTACGTGGGGTTTTTTGTTTTTGTTTTCATAAAAATGTAATCAGCTGAAAGTATAAAAACTAAACTAGCCTTCTATATTTTTGAGGGGAAAGGAGAAACTTAATTGGATATAATTTGTACAGTTTGGGGTTCATATGTCACATCTGAGCCATCTGATCTTTCCGTCCCCTTTCAGCACTGTGATTGCCACCAACATTCTCCTGGTTGATGAGATCATGCGAGCTGGAATGTCTTCTCTAAAAGGTTGAATTGAAGCTTCCCTTGTGTCATCTGTATCATGAAGACTACAGAGTGATCCTAAGAATATAGCCATGGAATTTTCGTCCAAGCTTCAAATGATTTTCAAAAGCATTTTCCTTTCCCATACAAAAAAAAGAACACTGGCACTCAAATTTTGAAGTTCTGAAATTATAATTACAGTATTTTTTTAAATTTCACTGCAGTGTACACCATTAAGCAGGCTGTTTTCACCCAGTGAACAGGATGTTTTGCTTTACCTTCCATGATCTAAAAGTACCGTGTTAGACAAGTATGTTACCTACCTTGTTATTAAATGTTCCTTGAAAAGCAAATTTAATGGTTTAATAATTTCTTCTAATTGATGTATTTTAATATATCTACTAGTTCTCCACTGTCAGGCTTGTAGATTTTTATGCAAATATAAATAATACTTAAAGTAACTTAAGATTTTGAAAGCATCCCTGTTTCTTTAGTATTAATTCCTGAGTAAAACTGTTGGAATCATTTGTTTGGACTTTTAATGCTTTTAAGTACTTTTGCTAAAATGCTCCCCAGGAAAGTTGTACTGGGCAGAAAGATGGGTGAAGTAGAGGCAAGGGAGTTGATCATTATATATAAATAAACTGAAAGTATGAAGAGAGAAAACTAGAAATAGAGGAGACAGAGGGAAAAACACCCTTAAAGGCATGGGGGCTAAGGGAAAGGAGATTTTCACATGGACCATATTTTCACATCCCTGTCTGTACCTGTGCTTATGCTGAAAGACCTGCCCGACCATTCCAAACTCTGTAGTGTCGTCTTTCACCCAAGTTACTGTTCTCTCCCACCCGCTTCCACAAAATTGTTTTTATAGTTGGTAGATGTCATTCACAGCCCTTGAGAGTGAAGTTGTGTGCTGCAAAGCTTTGTGTTTTTGAGGACTTGGCAGTTGCCTACGGTGTGCAATAAATACTAAATTGAAACCTTTTCTGTGATCTTGAAATGGTATTCCTGGGCCCAAAAGGAATTTGAATATAAATGGGTAGAAAATCTGTGGAAATGTTCCGTTCACAGTGTAATGGAGGAGCCTGTGGAACGCCAGGGCCCCTGGACACTAATCTCTTCTCTGGCTCCACAAGTTCTATACCCAGCCGCAGCCTGGGACCAACCAAGCCCTTTTGACCAAAGGGGGTTGTGAGGGAAACGCTAAGGAGGCGTTGCGAGCGATACGGTGGCCGAAGCGGTGCACGCAGGGCGCAGGCGCAGAAGGGCTTTACGGTGCGGCGTGCTTCTCGTGTTACCGGCATGGGCCCCTCGCCGCCGCTGCTGATTCTGCCGCTGCTCCTGTCTGGCCCGTGGCTCGAGCTAGGTCAGTGTGCTGGCCTGTCCCCTGACCCTGTGTGCCCCAGGAAACATCAGGGAAGGGGTGGGTGCCCTGCCAGGTCGGGAAAGAGACCGTGGCCCCTCCGCCCGCTTCCGGGATGGGCTTGGAGCAGCCAGAGGCAGCCAACTTGGCAAGATGGTTAATGCTCATATCCTATCTAACTGCTTTTTCACTTTTAATTTATTTTGGAATCTTTCGAACATAGTGTAAAAGAATATAAAAACACCTCCTCCTATGAACCGGTAACCCAGCTTAAAAACAGGCGCCAGTTTATAACTAATCTTGCTATTTTGGTATATCACGCTTTCTCCTTCCCTGGGGCCTTTTTGAAGTGAATCCAGACACGACACAATTTTATTTGTAAATACACAGCATGAATAGCCAAAAAGACAAGAAGTCATGAAAAAAACCCACCATACTCTTTCTCTACCTTAAAAAACTAACAGTTGTCATTAATATCCTTAAACATACAGTTAGTGTTCAAATGCATCTACTGTGTTTGTTATAGTTTATTTACTGAGTTAATGTCAGAGTTCATACATTGCAGTTATATGTTGTTTCTTAATTCCCTTTTAATCTGAGATTTCCCTGTAAAATTTTTTCTCCCTTGAAGTAGATGAAATCATCAGTGTGTGTCAGAATGAGAATAAGAAGGCTAAAGACAGAGAAACATGAAAAAATGGTAGACTCGGCCATTGAGGAACTTATAATTCTTAGACATCCTTAGGCAGAAACATAACACCCCAAAGTGTGAAGACAAGTGTAGCAGGTTGGAAATAGTGCTGACCTGGAAGTAAGGAGACCTGGATCTAGTGCTGTCCCTGCTAACTATTTCTTTAAGTGGTTTCTCTTTTTTGGGTCTTGGTTTTTTCCTGTTAAATAAGGGGGTTGAATTAAAGATCCTTTTGAGGCGCCTGGGTGGCTCAGTCGGATCGTGGGTTCGAGCCCCGTATTGGACTCTGTGCTGACAGCTGAGAGCCTGGAGCCTGCTTTAGATTCTGTGTCTCCCTCTCTCTCTCTGCCCTTCCCCCACTCGTGCTCTCAGTCTCTCAACAACAACAACAAAAAAAGTTAAAAAAATAAATAATAAAGATATTTCTAATTCTGATTTTCTGAGGTGTTCAAACAGTAGATATGAAGGACCTCATTCAGTTATTTGCTAATTATCGTGCTCTTATGCTAGATGCCAGGAATACACTGGCAAAATAAATGTAGTCCTTTTCTTTCTGGAGCATATGATATAATAGTGAAAATCATTCAGAAATGGGGAGGAAGAGGCAGAGAAACAACTTGAGCAGAAGTGTGGGTAGAGATGTGCTAGATGTATTTCAGGGTATAGTGTCTAGATTTACCTAGCTGGGACAAAGAGTTGTGTACAGTAATAGAGCAGTAAGAAAGAAAATAAACATTTGTTGAATAATTACAATGCACTCACAACGTTTCACACATGTTAATTTTAATTTATACAGCCACACCTATGAAATAGCTAGATGTTATCTCCATCTTGTAGGTGAAGAAACCAAAACTCAGACTGACTTATTTGCCTAAGGTCACCCAACAAATTAAGTGGCAGAACAAGAATTTAAAGCCAAATTTTTAAGCTGCCTTTTTTTTCCATTACATCATTATGAATATTACGTATGATCCAAATATTGTCACTTGTTTTATATATATTCATGTATTACTGATGATGCTCCTTTTTCTCTGCAGGGAATGGGCAGGCTACTAGCATGGTCCAGCTACCAGGTGGGAGATTCCAGATGGGAACAAATTCACCAGATGGCAGAGATGGTGAAGGGCCTGTCCGGGAGGTGTCAGTAAAACCCTTTGCCATTGATATATTTCCTGTCACCAACAAAGATTTCAGGTACATCAGGTATTCTAAGAGCGGTAAAGGCTCTTTCTGATTTTCGTTCCTGATAGCTAAAAGCAAACTAGCTTGTTCACTATTACATATCATCTTTGCAATAGTAATATGGGATAAGTGCTGTCTCCATTTTTCAGGTGAAGAATCTGAAGTCTGGAGACTCTGTTTACGGCAGAGCTGGACCTGGAACTCAAACCCTCTGACCCTTGAGCCAGTGGATTTTCCATTACACTGGATATAACACTGAGAAATAGAGGAAGAAGTCAAACACTTAACAAAAACCTCTTCCACAGGGAAAAGGGATTGGGAGAAGGGTCATAGTAGCTGGGAGTCTTTAAATATCCTTTATATTTACTTATGGAACTGGCATTGTTTTAGGACAAGCATTGTGATTCCAACTCAATCTAGGAAGCCTTGTTGAGCCGCCTCACTTTCCTCAAGGTGGTATGTTTTGCAAAGGCTAAAGTGGGGAATGATCCAGGTGATACCTGTAACTTACCTTCAAATGATACAGGGGGAATATAGAGAGAGAGGAGTGGGAAAAGGAAGAGGAGGGAACAGGAAGACAAAGCAAATGTGGGAAATGACTTATATGTTGCATTGTGGCCTTAAAACTCTTTAAGATAAAAATTTACGGGGAAAAATTTACTCAAGAGACAGAGTAAGCATAACAATTATTAGTGTATTTGTGGCACCTGGGTGGCTCAGTCAGTTAAGTGTCCGACTTCGCTCAGGTCATGGTCTCACAGTTCGTGAGTTTGAGCCCCGCGTTGGGCTCTGTGCTGACAGCTTGGAGCCTGGAGCCTGCTTTGGATTCTGTGTCTCCCTCTCTCTCTGCCCCTCACCCGCTCACACTCTGTCTCTCTCTGTCTCTCAAACATAGATAAACATTAAAAAAATTAAAAAAAAAAAAAAGAACTGGGAGATGCAGCATTGTGTTAGTTTACAGATTTTGCCCATGTTTTTGTGACTTCCAAATGAAAATAATTCCAGGGAAGCACCTTATTAAAGGTATTTAAAAATCCTTCCTGGGAGGGGGAGGGGGCAGGACAGGGAACACTATGTAAAAGATATATATATATATATATATATATATATATATATATATATATATATATATATATATATATATATATATATATATATATATCTTAGTTGGTCTGATAATGGATGATTTCAGTTTTTTTTCTTTTCATATACTTGTGCTTTCTCATTTTTCTATAATACAATATGCATTACACATATGTGCTTTTTTGTTAAGTATTTATTTATATTGAGAGTGAGAGAGAGAATGAGTGCAAGGGAGAAGAAGAGAAAGGCGGGGAGAGAGACAGTTCCAAGCAGGCTGCATACAGCTGGTGCGGGGTTCGAACTCACGAACTGTAAGATCATGACTTGAGCCGAAACCAAGAGTCAGACGCTTAACTGACTGAGCCAACCAGCACTCCATGCTTATATGTGCTTTTTAAAAGTATTTTTAAACAGGAAAGTTACTAAAATTGAAGGAGAAATCACTTTTGATCAGGTTTGCACCACATCATGACAACCAGAAATAGCTAGTTAGATAGATGAACAGTGTGTGTTCTTTTATATTTCAAATTATGACATTTATTTATTTATTTATTTATTTATTTATTATTTTTAATGACCTATTTTATGATAGACCTCTGGCAAGCCCCTAAACTTTGCTTAGAACCCCCCATGATTTGTCTCTGCCTCTCTGGTGAAAGATTTTCAAACTACTCAGATGCTCTGAGGTTGGTGAATAGCTGTTGCTACCACGTCTGATCACCTCCTCCATTCTCAATGCCCCTTTCATGGGTGAACAATGTCTCCTCATGTCAGAGGGCTGGCACAGACGGGGTACTATTAGCCCAGTGAAAACAATCCATCTTACCCTGGAAA